TGTAAGCTATTTCTCTCTCGGGTTTGGGGTTCGGTCGACCGCGAGACCTGCGCGGTCGACCGCCGAAGCGGTTATGTCAGGGTTCAGTTTTCAGACCCGTTTCGTTTTGGATTTGTATAAATACCCTTTGGGTATTTTTTAGGGTATGCAAGGCAGGAGTTTTTGAGCAGATTGAGATGGTTTTCTTTGGGCTTCTATTCTAGAAGCAATTGAAGAGATTAAGAGTGAGTTGTTGAGGGTTTTTGGTGAGAGATTGTAACCCTAGTTTGTTCCTCTTGATTTCTAATAGTGAAAACTCCACCCTCCTTGCCCCGTGGACGTAGGCATCTCGCCGAACCACGTAAAACTGGTGTTTGATTGTTTGTGCTATTGTTTTGGTGTGTTGGTTTATCTTTTATCGGCGATTGGTTTGGTTTCTCGAGGCACAACAAATAGGGCTCTTTTCTTGGCAGAGCATTTTTTTTAAATAACTCGTCATGCGTCTCTCTACTTTTTTTTTGGAGATTCTATTCACGAAATAAGTGGTTTTATAGAATTTGTAGCAGATAAGCGTTTTCATAGCAATTTTAGATGCTGACTGATTTAAAGAGTATTTTAAGAGAAGCATAGCAAAAATTTGCGTAGAGCGAAGGGTTTTTATTTTTTTTTTTGGTTCCATAAAAAAAGGCCCACCCACTTTTTTCTCTACTTAGTTCCATGTACTCCATTGTGGATGGTGAAAACGGCATCAATGTATATGAACCTAGGGGTGGCAAACGGGTCGACCCGACCCGACCCGACCCATATAAAATTTGACCCGACCTGTATAAGTGTGACCCGACCCGACCCATTTAATAAATGAGTCAATGCGATCCGACCCGTTTATTAAACGGGTTACCCGACCCGACCCATATAACCCAAATGGTAGAGAATACTAAACATTTAGTGTGGTTGTAGTAGAAACCTGCATATTCTATTGTACTCTTTTAAGTGACTTATGCACACAAAAACCAGGTTACTATTTCTGATATATTTATAAAGGTTCACTGCAAATTTCCACATTTGGAGATAAACAAAATATTGAATGGCTACAATGTCATTCTACATACATACGCATCAAAAAAAATTGGAGCAAGATTACTCTCATTAGAATGTTAAACAGGTTCACAAACAAGTTCATTTCAAGTTCATTTCTGGATCAGTTCTCAGTTAGCAGCAGTATTAAAGGTATTTCCACTCTCATATAGAAATTAAAAAGAAAAATGCTCTTAACAATCAGATATTTATACTCTAGACTATACTGTCATTTTCAGAAGAACAAAATAGGGGAAATTCCAATCCAAAAATTGAAGAAAGCACAGCATTTTCATTATATACAATCTGAAGAAATGAACTTTTAAAACTACATTTTCCAATTTATACATTTTAGTGATTATTAGAAGTTTAAGAAAGTTTTAAAATCCACCAAATTCCTTCAGAATCATGAAATTTTCTTTAATTCCATCTACATTTTCTTCAATTCTTCCATAATCCCCACATCACTAACATTGATGTCCCATATATAACCCATAGACTAGGATGATATCCCCGAAAAGTCTCATCTATAATTACTTTCTCAAGTTTCTCTTTCGTATATGAATTCTTATCCAAGTCCTTTCTATCAAATCTATTTTAGATATTGATGTCTCAATATAAGCATTTTAAAGTTTTAGATAAGGTCTTCAATTTTTGCAAAAATTGTCATCTAAAAATTGTAGATAAGGTTTTCAGTTTTTAGATAAGGTCTTCAATTTTGTAAAAATTGTCATCTAAAAAGACATTTTCAGATAAGGTCTTCAATTTTTGCGTAGGTACCGTTTATAAAAGGTAATAGTACCATGGGATTTTATATATTTTCCTTAATTTAAGGGCTAATTTCAGAAAACCTCCTGAACTTTAGGGGTACTGCACCAAACTCCCCGAAATTTTTGGTAAACACCCCTATTTTAGGCTTATTGCCATAAACCCGCAAAACTTTTAATTTTGTTAAACACACCTGAACTTTAGGCGTTATTGCACATAAGCCTCTAGACCAAGAAAAAAAAAAGAAAAAAACCCAACGCACCTAACAAGTAACAATAAACTCACCTAAATACTTCTCATAATTAGGTTCCGCAATTCACAGCATCAACTCTAATATAGTCGTGATAAGCACATGACGAAAAGGATAAAAATTCTTTCTCAATTAATGCCAAAAGTACTATTGTACTAAAAAGGACAGATCGAAGTGAGATTTTTTTTTAATGACCGAGGTATTATTTTCATCTTCTCTTTTTTTCTCATGTGCTTGTTACATGATACGTCAGAGCTAATGTGCTGATTTACAGATTAACTGAGAAATTTTACATGCGCAACTTAGTGGATGCGATAACCCCTAACGTTTGAGGGGGAGCCTAGCAAAATAGAAATAGTTCAAGGGGGTTTAGAGCAACATCCTCAAGTTCACGGGGTTGGAACCGTATAATTATAAAAGCCTGGACATAGGACTGGTATCCACGCGCGAGTTAAAGCATGGGCCACGTGGCCTCACAAGCGGGCGAGTGAGAATCGGCGCTTCGCTAGAGTTTCTCAAAATATAAAATGTTGACTAAAATCCTTTCGTAATGCAATTTAAATACGGATAAGTTAGTTAATTAGTTGCTACTTTTGCTCCTAAAATCAACCTACTCCCTAAAATATCTCCAACAGATTATATATAGTCGTCAGTTCTAATAACTCTCAACACTTATCGGTAACTATATATTGTTATCTTATCATTTATTCTCTCTTTGCTTATTAATTATTATTCAGTCCCGCACAGGAGAAAAATTTCTCTCTCTTTTTTTTTTTTGTTTCACGTGTGTTTTTCCTTAGTGATCTGTTTATTTTCTTGATTTATTGGTGAAAAGAGGCGATAATGGGATCAATTGAGGGTGAAAATAATAAAAGTTTGGAGATTGAGAGGGAGAAAAAGCTTGAGGATTGGCTACCGATTACATCTTCAAGAAATGCAAAGTGGTGGTATTCAGCCTTTCATAATGTCACGGCTATGGTTGGCGCCGGTGTTCTTAGCTTGCCTTATGCTATGGCTCAACTTGGATGGTAACTTTTTTTTTTTTTAATGATTTCGTGTTGTTTGTTTACTGATCATGACTACCAATTCAAATCTTTGTTTCGATGGCGCCGACAATGTTGGGGAGGGAGGTGGCTGGTGCCGGTGACGGAGTTGGTGTCTCGTCCGGTTTCTGACTGCTGGCTTAGTTACTTCGGTTAGGATGAAGATGACAATAAACCTGTAATTAGAATTCTCAATCATCTACTAGTTTTTTTTTTTCCTTTTTTTTACACGCGGTAACTGCCATAGGTTCAAGTATAGGACCAGTTTTAATATATAGGATCCCTGTTCTCCTTTTATCTCCGAAAGGGAACCTATAAATAACATATCAACCCTCAGTCCATGGAGGAGAGGAGAATAGTCAGTACTTTGTCTTTCCAAAATGGCAGTACAGAAGTAGATATGATGAATACCATTTGAAGCTACGCATAAAATATCATAAGATTACATAAACAAAACCATATAGGGAGATCGACAAAGGAATAAGATATTTGGTCTAGAGTGAATTTCGATGCGAACATCACTGTCAGCTATATCAGTATATAATAATACTGCTTATCAATCAATCCGGTCGCTATCTATGCAATCTTTGACTCTCCAAAGATTCTTAGATGTACATGATTATTTTCCCCACCCTTTAATTGAGTTCTTTATAAGTGAGCATCTTTGCTTCTTCTTCTTCTTCACAGGGGTCCGGGCGTCACGGTGCTCATCCTCTCATGGATAATCACCCTCTACACGCTCTGGCAAATGGTGGAGATGCACGAGATGGTCCCTGGCAAACGCTTCGACCGCTACCACGAGCTAGGGCAGCACGCGTTTGGCGAGAAGCTAGGCCTGTGGATTGTCGTCCCCCAGCAGCTCATAGTGGAAGTAGGGAGCAACATTGTTTACATGGTCACCGGAGGGAAATCTCTGAAGAAGTTTCACGACTTGGTTTGCCCCGACTGCAAGAACATCAAGCTGACGTATTTCATTATGATCTTCGGCTCCTGCCATTTCGTGCTCTCGCAGCTTCCTAACTTCAACTCCATCTCTGGCGTCTCCTTGGCCGCTGCTGTTATGTCTCTCAGGTATTTTCGGACGGTCGTAAATCATTATTTTGTTTGTTTTGTTACTTGAACATTAAACAAAAGGATTATTAGGGTTAATTTCACAAGAATGCCACCTGAATTGAACACATTGAATTTAAAAAAAAGTTATTTTATTTGAAATCTTAACAAAAACTTCATTTAGTGTCTACGGATGTCTTAATATATACAATGTAACTCTTTGACATGATATCTTAAGATTAGACCACATTTAACTTATTAACAAAACTAATGAAAATCGAACCGTTTTCAGTTACTCAACCATTGCTTGGGTAGCTTCTTCAGCCAAAGGAAAGCAAACGGGCGTATCCTACAGTTACAAAGACACAGCAACATCAGGAACAATTTTCAACTTCTTCAACGCTTTAGGCGACGTGGCCTTCGCCTATGCTGGCCATAGTGTCGTTCTTGAAATCCAAGCGACGATTCCATCAACACGCGAAAACCCATCAAAAAAGCCAATGTGGAAGGGAGTTGTAGTTGCTTATATTGTCGTCGCAATCTGTTATTTTCCTGTTGCCTTGGCGGGCTATTGGATATTTGGAAACTCGGTTGAGGATAACATACTTGTAACCTTGGAGAAGCCAAGGTGGATTGTTGCGACGGCGAATTTGATGGTTGTTGTTCATGTTATTGGGAGTTATCAGGTAAATGTGATGATGAATTCTTTTCTCTTAAATTCTATCATATCTTTATACGAGAAAAACGTTTATTACATGACATAGGAGAGGATTTAACATAGAATGTGGTTGAGTTAAGTAATAAGAAGATCACCCCTTTTAATATTCACTTGGCTGAGATTCTAACATAGAATCTTCCCATATGCCACGTCATACAACACACATTATTCTCGTTTTAATTTACATCCCATATCATTAAGTTGATCTAACCTAAATGACATATATACCGGCCATCCAAATTTATTGTGGCTATATGTTTACTTACATCCAACAGGTTTAACTCCAATGACTTGAACCAGGAAAGGAGAGTACATTTAGAAAAGAGAAATATTGGGAGAAAACATTATTTAAACTAGTATATATATTTGATGCACCTGCATAAAAATATAAATTTCTTGTTATGCTAATTATCTATTTTTTAATAAATTTTTTTATTTTTTATTTTTTTGGTGAAGATATTTGCTATGCCAGTGTTTGATATGATTGAAACAGTCCTAGTTAAGAAGTTTCGTTTGCCACCGGGTCTTACTCTTCGTTTGATTGCAAGGACTGCTTATGTTGGTAAGGCCTCTTTCCTGCATAAGTACTTCAAAATTGCAAAAATAATTATTGTACATTTTTTTAATGTATGATATTTATCTTATGATTTTGTAAATAATGCAGCACTTACGATGTCCATTGCTATATGTATCCCTTTCTTTGGTGGTCTACTTGGATTCTTCGGAGGATTTGCATTTGCCCCAACTACATACTTTGTAATTGAGCTAAAAATTTCCCCCTTTTTTTAGAAAACAAATCAATTTCAAAAAAAAAAAAAAAATTTGCTAACTCCATAAGTTTTTGTTTTCTACAGCTACCATGCATTATTTGGCTTGCTATAAAAAAACCTAGACGGTTCAGCTTATCTTGGCTCATAAATTGGGTGAGACTCAAATCTATATTACATAAATTTTGGATTTCTTTTGGTATATCATCAATTTGAACTAATCAGTTTTGTTTTCATGGTCTTCAGTCTTGCATCATTCTTGGGGCTTTGTTAACGGTTTTGGCACCAATCGGAGGTTTGAGATCGATCATAAAAAGTGCGAGTACTTACGAATTCTTCTCTTGAGCTTAAGTGCACAAATGAAGAATATCAGATGCTGAAAATACTGAATGCTGTTTTTTCATAATGCATTCAGTAAGTGTTTTATTGTTTAAGTTTTTTTTCTTAGGAGAACAATATGTAAAGAAGTACTATTACAAAGACTTCTGGTTGATTTTTCTCCAAAATTTATTTTTCATTCAACTACTAGAGATGCTGTTATGCAATGAAAATCAAGCGTTTCTCTGGTATTTCTTATTCTTTTGTTTGTTTATGATGGTTTTGAGCTCAATTTAAAATCTCTATAAGCATTTTTTTAAATAATTTATAGCTACCTTCTGCTAAATCCTGAAGAAAGCAAGACTATGAAGTTAACTCATGCTAAATTCAAATTAACCATGTTCTCCATATCTAGTAACCCATTTATTTTGGGGCTGTAATTGACACTTCGAAGCAGAGCATTCTTCATGAATTTGGTTCTGTTGAAGGGATTTTTCCTGCTAAATACCTTGGCATGCCTCTTACTAGTGGTAAGCTTAAGAAGCATCATTGTCAGTGTTATGATGATTGGGTTATAGTGCCATGGAGATATCGAAGAACCCAAATGAGAGATGCATAGTGAATGAAAGTTGGACTACCGACAAGTTCCCGATATCGAGTAGCTTGAGATAAGGGATCGCCATCATCATGTCGAAGCTTCAAGTTCATTTCTATCAGTGTGGAGAGAGGGGTGGTAGAAATTGAAGGATCACTGAGAGTAGCACGCTCAAGAATGTCTGTAATGTACTTCTGCTGAGAGAGAAGATAGCCACGAGAGGAGGAAGCAACCTCAATACCCAAAAAATAACGAAGACATCCAAGATCCTTCATCTCAAATTATCTCTGAAGATGTTGCTTTAAGGAAGTACTGGCAGAGGAATCACTCCCAGTGATTATCATGTCATCAACATAAGTAATAGAATTACTGTCTGGAGGACGATGACCGATAAAATAGAGCGTAGTCAGCTAGGCTTTCAATGAAACCAATAGAAAGAAGGGATTGCCGAAAACGCTCAAACCAAGCCCGATGAGCCTGTTTGAGACCATATATGGCACAACGAAGGCAACAGACATGTCCTGAAGGAGCAGAAAAACCAAGAGGTGATTGCATGTACACTGTCTCAGATAGATCGTCGTTAAGAAAAGCATTTTTAACATCCATTTGATACAAAGGCCAATGTTTTACAGTTGCAACAGCAATGGGAGTGCGAATGGATGTTATTTTTGCAACATGAGCAAAAGTCTCTTCATAGTCAATACTATACTCTTGTGAGAATCCCCTAGCTACAAGACGAGCTTTATATTGCTCAATAGAACCGTCAGATCAAGTCTTGACCTTATAAATCCATTTGCAGCTTACCGATTTAACACCAGAAGGTAGAGGAATAAGGTCTCAAGTATTAGTCCGACGAAAAACCTCCAACTCTTCTATCATGGCTTGTTGCCATTCTGGATACTTAACTGCCTTGTGAACCAAAAACATATATATAAACTTGTAAATAAATAAATAAATATATATATATATATATATATATTAGGTTCATGTATAGAGTGAATAGAAGAAAGAAAAGAGACAAACTTGGGAGAATATGTGCTAGTGACACATTGAGCATACCGAGCAGGGGGTGACGATCTCGTGGAGGATTGCGGCGAGGAGGAGGAGTCACATCGGGAGAAGCTGACACAAATGTAAATGAGACATCAGTAGGAGTATCTTGCAATAAAGGGGTTGTAGTAGGCGGATGTCCAGGAGGTGTGGATGAATCAATAGCACTATCGTTTGATGCCATTGGAGTGAAGGAGGAAGTCGGTTGAGCGAACGAATGTATAGGTGCCATTGATACAGGTATGGAAGGTAATGAAGGGGGTTGAAGAAAAATAAGATATGAATTTGAAGTAGTATAATAGGAAATATTCTCAAAGAATGTCACATGATGGGCAATGCGAAGCCTTCGAGTGGTAGGTTCATAACAATGGTACCCCTTGTGAACAGTGCTATATCTAAGAAAGATACATTGTGCAGAGCATAGAGATAGTTTATCTCGTTCATGAGTTGGAAGTAGGACAAAACAGACACATCCAAAAGTACGAAGAAGAGAGTAGCGAAACTGAGACTTAAAAAGTTGAAAATATGGAGAAGTGTCAGCTAATACAGAAGTTAGAGTAATATTGATAAGATAAACAGCAGTCAGAAGTGCTTCTGCCCAGAGATATCAAGGTATAGATGCTGATATCAGAAGAGCTTTCGTGGTGTCAAGAATGTGACGATGTTTTCTCTCAGCAACACCATTTTGTTCATGAGTGTGTGAACAAGACTGCTGAGAGAGAGTGCCATGTGATTTTAAAATAGATTGCATTGCCGAATAAATATATTCACAGGCACCATCAAAGCGAGATTTTGGAATAAGTAAGAAAGCAGCAAATCCTTACTCGAAGAGAGTTCAAACCCCGACTAGAGAGACATGCCTTCTAAATCTCACTCTGCTACTGATTCAACAACAGCAATTCTTGGTCAAGCTTCCCCCTCTCTTCGTGGTTCTCGGTTGCAATAATGATTGATTTACATTGAAATATCTTTATACGTTTATGAAACTAGGTGTGAATCATATTTGTAAAGTCTTTATAAATATTTAAAATATCAGAACGAGCACGCATAAGATATACCCAGGTGTAGCGAGAATAGTCATCAATAAAACTGACATAATATCGATAACCGAACAATGCTGATAATGGGCCAGGTCCCCAGATATCAGAATGAATCAAATCAAAAGGGGCTAAAGTAATTTTGTTACTGGATGAAAATGGTAGGGAAATTTGTTTAGGTAATTGACACCCAGTATAGTTTGATAAAGTAGAGAATTTTAAATTTCTTAATACAACAGATTCAGATAAAAGTTTTAAGTGAGAACTAGAGATGTGACCCAAGCGACGGTGCCACAAATCATAAACAGAGAGTCCATGACCAATGTTGGATGGAGTGGAAAGATGTAGAGGCTCAAACTGATAAAGTCCATTAACTCTACGACCTGTCCTAATTTTCTGGCCAGTGTGATCCTAAACAACACAAGATTTAGCATTAAATAAGATAGTGCAACCAGAATCTGCAATTTTCCCAATGGATAAAAGTTACATAGATAATTTGGGAATATAAAGAACAGATGATAATGTTAGACGACCAAAATTATTAGAACTTGGAGTAATATCACCTAACTAAGAGACGGCAAGGGGAGTGTCATTAGTAGTATAAATGCATAATAAAGAGGGAGCATGTGAACAATTTGTAAGAGCAGAGTTATCAAAGGTCATATGATGAGATGCACCTGAGTCGAATATCTAAGGAGTAGAAGTACCAGAATTAGCAGACAAGGCAGTGAAATCTGAGCTGGAGGCAACACCACTAAGCCCAAGTTTCTTGGTTATTAATGTAGTAAACTCTGACAACTGCTTAGAAGAGAGAGGGCTAGAAGTCTGCGACCTTTTAGGAGCAGAACTAACATCAGCCGAAGCAGGAAATGAAGGTCGAGTCTTCTTAAGTGTCGGACAAGGTGGTCTCTTACGATATTTATCAATAAGATGACCCGACTTCTTACAATAACGACAGTAGAGTTGCCTAGAGGAATCAGATGTAGTGTTAGAATGACCCCGATAGGAAGAGAACAACTGAGGAGTAGCTAGAATAGTATGTGATGAGGGTAATGACTGAGATGCAATAACTGGAGGGGAGATCATCTGAAGGCGCGTCCCTTTAGATATGAACTCAGCCATGGCTTCACGGAGACTGGGGAGAGGATTGCGAGGAAGAATATGTCCACGTAAGCTTTCATACTCAAAGCGAAGGTGCATGACAAAGTGATATAACTGTTGACGATCACGTTGTTTTTGAAATGCTATGGCAAAGTCTGGACGTCTCAGGAACAGGTTCCTCCATCATCTATAATTCCTCCTAATAGACTGATAATAAGGAATATAAATCTTGAATACACTGATCACCCTG